CTGCTGATGACGTCAGGTAAGCGCTTTAATCGGGCGCGCTTTAGTGGACCGCGGTTTTGACAGGTCACGCTCTGGGACAAGCCAGCGGTGGTATTGGCTGGTTCTCCGAACTACTCAAAATTTCTGCTACCGGTTCTCCAGAACCTGTCAGAACCTGCTGAATTTCACCTCTGATGAAGGGACATTTTACAGAGGAAATGAGAAAAAGCCAAATCAATTATTTTAAAGACTAATGTACAACTTTTGGGACAAAAGGATAGCTAGGAAAGAACTTAGTTTTTATATATATGATGTCAGAATTTGTTGCAGAGAAATGAAATCCAGAAAACACATACAGATATCAGCCAGATTCATTAACTTCTTTATACACATAATGACTGATGAATAAATGTACAATACCAATAGAAGATTCTTTCAAAGTGGTAGAAGTTATAAGCAGAACACAAGCAGGCGAAAACAGTTCCATTTCAGAGTTCAGAGCAGATAGAGTAGTTTTTGTTTCGATTCTCAGCACAGACTCAGATCTGTTTAAGCTCCCATTGGCTGACTTAGTTGCTATGCCTATTTATTGGCTGATCTTGTTACCATGTCTCTCCCAGTCATGAATATTCTCACATATGACAATCGCAGCGAGATTACTATATGCTTAAACGAGGAAACGTTTGACACCACCCACAATAGAAGAATAGTTGGTGAAGTAGATGGAGCTGGCAGAGATGGGTAAATTGACTTCTTTGCTTGGGAGGGGGGAAAAAAACCAATATTGTATCTACATTTATTGGATGGAAACCCTTTCCAGACTTCTTTCATGGAAAGGGGAAAAATGCACTTATGATTTTGATGATTTGAAAAGAATGGATAATAGAAACATCTTTTCTTTTCTTGTGCTGCTCAAAGTTGTATCTCACTTGGAGGAGCAGATAAAAGTGTCAGGTAATGAATAGACAAGTCCAGATTCAAAAGCTCATTAAGCATTTGAAGCTGCCTGTGTGACATGAGGTCAGTCCTATTTCCACCCCCACCCCCCTCCTAGTTGAGAGGAAATGTAGATCCCCCCCCCTGCCTTTCTTCCCCTGATCTTGCCAAGTTTCAGATGAAAGCCAGGGAACCAAAGGTGCCTAATTGGAAATTTAATTAATCAGAATAAATCTCCTGGACTCTGGGTTCGCTCCATCTGTTTATATTAAGGAAAGGCAGACTTGCCAGCAAGAACCAAATGCTGAAACAGCAAGAAATAACGATGGGAAGAAATAATTAAAAAAAAACCAAGCAAATCAATCCCCTTTCCATTTATATGTGGAAAGACACCCAGAGAAAATTCTCTATGCAGTTTATCTGGGCCATTACAGGTCAAAGGTCTGTCTATATACCAATATTCATTGTTAAAAATGTAAAGGTTCCCCTCAAACATATGTGCTAGTCGTTCCTGACTCTAGGGGGTGGTGCTCATCTCTGTTTCTAAGCCTAAGAGCCAGCGCTGTCTGAAGACGTCTCCGTGGCCGGCATGACTAAACAGCGAAGGCTCAAGGAACCCTATTACCTTCCCACCAAAGGTGGTTCCTATTTTTTTCTACTTGCATTTTTACATGCTTTCGAACTGCTAGTTGGCAGAAGCTAGGACAAGTAATGGGAGCTCACTCAGTTACGCTGCGCTAGGGATTTGAACCGCCAAACTGCCGACCTTTCTGACCGACAAGTTCAGCATCTTAGCCACTGAGCCACCGAGTCCCTCTATTCATTGTTAGGCAACTGCTAACCAAATGTACTAATCATACATTCCACTGCATAAGCTCATAATTGTGATATGATTGGGACAACAAGCCAATTCCCGCTTGACACTTCCTGACAGCTGTTATTTAAAGACAACTTCTTTAAATACAGGTAAGTCCTCAACTTGCAACAGTTCATTTAGTGACCGTGCAAAGTTACAATGGCACTGGAAAAAAGTGACTGAGGACTGTTTTTCACACGTACAAACGTTTCCGTATCCCCATGGTCACGTGATCAAAATTCAGTTGCTTGGCTACTGACTCATATTTATGACGATTTGTAGCATCCGGGGGGGGGGATCACGTGCTCTCCCTTTTGTGACCTTTTGATCAGCAAAGCCAATGGGAAAACCAGATTCACTTAACAACCATGTTCCTAATATAACAACAGCAGTGATTCACTTAACAAACGGCGTGAGAAAAGTCATAAAATGGGGGCAAACCTCAGTTAACACATTTCTCACTTAACAAGCATAAATTTTGGGCTCCATTGTGGGCATACGTTGAGGACTATCTGTATAAGGATCTGTTGGGTCACTTTTTTTTAATGCCTTTGTGACATCAAACGGTTGTTAAAAGAATGATCGTAAGTCAAAGACTGCCTGCATGGTTAAAGGAATAATAAGCTGCCAGGGGTCTGATCATCCATGAATTTGTGAGCCACTTCCCTGATTACCCAATACATTTAAGGAGAAGCTTCTTGACAGTGAGGACAATTAGCCAGTGGAACAACTTGCCTCCAGAAATCGTGGGTGCTCCATCACTGGAGGTTTTTAAGAAGAGTCTAAACCAGGCCTGTCAAACTGGCAGCCCAAGGGCAGGATGCGTCTCTCACACACAGACACACCCACCTCAGCTCCACAAAGGTAAAAAAATTCACGATATGTTATGATACATCACGTGACGTGATCAGGTTTGACACTCCTGGTCTAGACAGTCACTTAACTGAAATAGTATAGGACTATTCTAGTCTAGTCTAGTCTAGTCTGTTCCTCTATTCTAATTCTAATTCTATTCTATTCTCTATTTTATTCTATTTCTCTATTCTAATTCTAATTCTATTCTATTCTCTATTTTGTTCTATTTTATTCTGTTCTCTATTCTGTTCTAGTCTATTCTATTTCTCTATTCTAATTCTAATTCTATTCTATTCTCTATTCTGTTCTATTTTATTCTGTTTCTATTCTATTCTCTATTCTAATTCTATTCTATTCTAATTCAATTCTATTCTAATTCTATTCTATTCTAATTCTTATTCTATTCTCTATTCTCTATTCTCTATTCTCTATTCTCTATTCTCTATTCTAATTCTAATTCTATTCTATTCTATTCTATTCTATTCT